AGAAAGCAACTGACAATCACAATCAAAGTAAGGGTGGTTATTCTCTATATAGGTGCAGAAAATTGCTGTGAGCATCTTGGATTTTCATTATTTGCTTTTATTGACCGTGATCCGAAGCTAGATTCAGTTGTTTGAGATTACTATGACTATAAACATCCCTAAATGTCACGAAATGTCAAATTATGTTTTTACTTCATGTCTAATTAAATCAGAATCTGCTAAATGAATGGTCTGTGAATCTGTTTTGCATTCATGAGCTATCGATTGATAATCTGATTTTTTATGAAATTGCTAGATGACTTGGTTGACTGCATGGTTCGTGCAACTTATATTGCATTGGATGCTTCATTTTTTATTTTTTTTGGGTGTCGTCTTCTGTGTGGGTGCTTCCTACACATTCAGTTGCCACCATACATGATTACTTTTTCATGCCTCAGAATTCAAAATGCATCAAAACATTCAATATATTGCCACTGATTCAAACACAATTTGTGTACATGTAAAATATGATGCTTAGCTGAATACTTTTGGCATTATTGGCTATTTCTTTGACTGTTCTGCATGACTGGCCCAATTGGTTTATCATCAGTTTTGATTATTAACAATTATTACATCTCATTATCTGATTGGTAATAGAATTATTTTGTTGTTTGGATGGGCATAAAGATCATTAAGTTGGTTGAAATGAGTAATTAGCTCCCAAGATTATCATTTTACCCAGTGACCTCATGATTTGTTGAAATAATTATAGACTCAATTTGTCATTATTTTGAGAGAATATGAGGCAAGCATGGATTCTCCAGTATATCATTTATACTAACTTCTTTGTTATTTGCAGATATCTACATGTATAGAATCTATAGATGTTTCCTTTGCATTGATTATCATTCTTCTGATGGTAAACAGTTACTGCTTTGGATCGTGCAAGTGCTGAAGATGCCTTACTTCCAATGCCTAAGATATTTAACCTGGTTGATAAGAATGACAGAGTTAAGCCTGTGGTGAGTAGAGGTATGTTGATCGATTCTACTTGAGAATTGATGTATATGGATTCTGTCTTTTAACTTCTATCTAGGTGTCTGGGGAGGGGAGCAGACCTCTTCTGCTTGCTTGGCTTTTAATAATCAATCACTAAAGGACTATATATTCTCTCTACTGTGTTGGGTTCTCTCTCGTGTCTGTTTTTTTTTATTTGGGTGCATGGCTTCAAGTACTGAAAATTTAATTGTCCATAACATTCATGGTCTGCAATTGACTTCATGCAACAACTTTTGCTTTCTTTCTTTAGACCTTTAGTAAGGAATATTCTCCATATGTTACCCAGCGTTTCTTTCTTAACATTATAATTAGTACTGAATTATTCTAATAGCAGTCCAGTTAAACTGGTTGATATCTGGAATTTTTAGCTCAAGTTTTGATATCATGTCTTTTTTCCCTCACTTGGTTGCTGGGTTGCAAAGATAGGATGGCATGTTTTGGCCCTTAAACATTATTGTGGGGTTTTGCAGATGCTGTGTGTAAATTGAATGTTGACCAAGCTACATTCTCCATGGAAGATCGACTGAGATCCTTAGGGATCGTTAACGATAGAGATGGCCTCACATCTAGCTCCATGAGCGATTCTGGCATCTTAAAGGACATAAATCTTGCAGCGAGCACACCCCCAAGGAAGGTATGTTTGTCCTCTGTGGAGGAAGAGAAGTAACTCCTTTTGTTTTCCATGTTGCTTTTTGCAAATAAATGGCTTGCTGATGACAGAAGAAATACCCCAGATGAAAGCAAACGTTGTATCTCTTGGAGCTAGTGAAGCATACGACTTGCTCAAGGTCTTGGTGGCTGCATGGCAATCCAGGTCAGCTTCTTTTTCCTTAATGTCCAGTTTTAAATGATTTTTGTGAGAATAAATGTGGTACTACTGTCAATTCACAATATGCTATTAGTCTAATGATATGGAACTCTCACCGCGGTGCAAGTTATCAGTTTTATTAAAAAGAAAACTGTGATTTGGCATGGAGCATGACTCTTTGAAATGTGATAATGTGTCTTCGTCACTGGTTAGTATCATATCATATGATTTACATTTAATTAGTGTTGATTTTTCTTCAAACAGATCATGCTTTGGAAGATACGTGCTTCCATGGATACACTGTATATTGTTGAGTCACATTAAGTACGTGGTATCTCAGGAGCCAAAGACTCAACTTCTTGAGTCTTTGTACAAGGTTGGATAAATGTTTCTTTATTTAGTTTTTTCACCTACAGGGCATTCTTTTGGATTTTCCCCTCTTTTATGATTGATTTTGGTTAAATATGATGCAGTCGCTGAAAGAATCCATCTATATGTAGTTCTGTTAATTTTTTTTTACCTCTCATGCTCTACATCATTGTTGAGCATCCTAGGCTGAAGAAGTGGTTTTTTTTTTTAACTGAAAAACCAAGTGCAACGAATGATTATTCTAGAGAAGAATAGGTCATTTTGATAATTGAAGGCTTGTAAATTTTGCTTTCTGGATGTTGTATGCACTATGCATTGGAATGTGGATTCTGAAGAGAATCTAGTAACCTCACAGGCACACTTCGAGTCTCCGATATCCTTGATTATCTTTTATCTATCTTCAAGCTATCTTCAGCTACTTAATTAATTATCTTCATTGATTATTAGTAGTTCTTCCTTCTCCTTGGAGACAACTTTGTTGTTCCATGAAATTGTGCTGCTGGGCAATATGCATGTGTTTTGGTAGCATTGTGCGACAGAATGATGGGCCATTCGCAGATAAGTCTTCCAGGCAATGCACATGGATATTAATGGTATCTTTGCGCATATTAGCTGTAATAATACATCTTTGGATCAATGATTAGTTAACACAATGATAAGAAACGCTAGTGCTGATGAGTTTGATTGTCTAATTGTTCTCTGCCTGCAAAAGTTGTGCCTTAAGTGATGGAAATTTTTCTTGTTTCATTTACACTTCGGCGAATTTAACCCTTAAGTCTTTTTTGGTTTTTTGGGAAGTTGAAATTTGATTGGTTTTCACATGGAGTCTCGAGTGAACATTAGCAGTGAATGATTATATGCTCATGCGTGAATCATATGCATTTTGTAGCACCTGGGATCAATCTAAATGCTTGGTATCGTGATATGCATACATTTTTATGATTTAATTGTTTCTAATATGTAACTCTTAGGCCTTTTTTAATTTCAGCTGTGCAAATCCAAAGAAACAGCCATCCCGTCATTATTGCAATTATCTGGCCGTTTTCAGCTTGTGATGGCACAGGTTTTGTGCTTCAAAAGTTCCTTAAACTAGTTTTCTTTCTATTATATGTGTAAATTGTTTTTCAATTTTCCTTAACACTTTCTAACAGATTGACAAGGCTACCAAAAGCAATGAACCTACTTTAATACATGATGAGGAATTGGATGAAAGTGAAGATGACAATGTAGATGAAGTTCTTTATGGTGTAGATGAAGATTCCCAAATAGATAGTGATAGTGATGAATAAGTGTCTTTCAAAAGTAGAGGTAAGGTTATCAAGCTATGGTTTAGCACTACCAAGTTTAGTATGTTACAGTACTAAATGAATTGGGAATGGAGGTGTTCTATCCTGAACATGTCATGCTTTAATGATGTTGCATTGATTAATCTATGGTGCTGCATCTGGGAATGGAAATCCTTTTCTATGGTAGTTGAAATGGTCTATTATTGGTTGACAAATGCTTTGTTACTCTTGTGCACATTGGTACAACTGATAGTGCATTAACATGTTTATGATTGGCATAGTTATGATAGATAGACGAGTTCTAGGTTCACTAAGAAACTGTTTTGCCAGCTTATCTACCTCTTTAAAGCTAGGAACTGATACTCTGATATGTTAAATCTCGCAGGACTTTCAATTATTTATCTGCCTCTGTGAGGCTCTCCAAGCCAATTTCTCGAGTTCTGGTCCTATGATGCTGATTTGCAGTCTTGGTGGCATCTAATTTGAGTTTTAACAGCTTATTCATAACATCTTCCTTGAAGTTCACAATTTCCAAGGTCCTGCCCTTCTCTGCTAGGTTACATATGTTTTGACTTCTGAGCATCTTTTGGCAAGTGTGCAGATCTTTATGGAGGTATTGCACGGTTTGGACCGATTTTGTGTACCCATGCTACAGCCTGACAATTTTGTCCAACTATACAGCTATTTCGCTGATGAGGCAAAATATTCTCTTTTTTCCCTTCTTTTTTTTTTTGACAATGAATTTGTAAATTCACGATAAAGGGTTTGTAGTTGAGTTAGTTCTTTTTTATTGGTCTTATTTCTAGATGCCCCATGATGATATATATGTTTAATTTGTTTAACTTCTGAAATGCAAGTTTTGGTATATTGCACTTATTTTTAATGTATGCCTTTGCTAATTGTCTTTCTTGTGTGGATCTTTGTTGATTTTCTTTTCTTGTTTAAGCTAAATGAAAAGTTTTAGATATGTAGCAGCTTTTCTAAATGCAGGGAGGAGAATTCGTCTGTAAATAATGAGCATGGTGTTTCATCAAAAAATAAATGAAAATAGCTATTGCAATTGATTATTTAACTTTTTTAAATAATCAATTGCAAATTAGTAATTAAGACAATAAATTAGTAAATCAGTAAAAAGAGAGCCTAACATAATGGCTTTGGAGTGTTTGAGTTGTTTTCAAAGCTAGAATCTACTGCTGGAAGGTTTCTTAGGACTTAGGTACTATTTCTGTGCTTTTTCTCTCTCGTGTATGATTGTCATGCGCTACGCAGAAATTGTTAACTTTCACGATTTGCCGTTTAAAGGATAGAAAATCAGTTTTAGTGCTGATCAATTACGATGGTTTCATACTTCATGTTTGGTTCGGTTCGTCAGTGATCTAGGGGCTGTAACCTAATATGACTTTTGAGCTTGATTTCTTCCTTTTTGACAGGTTTTCAAGCCAAGATAATATTTAGATTGCACAATAACTGAAATAGAAATTTATCCCAAAACTAAAGGATATGGAAACCAATATAGATTTGATAATTTCACAGGAATAAATGCTGGTTCTTTGCATTAGACGTCTGTCAAAAGTGGAATATGGGATATATTCTTCCTGCTCTTACAAGCTAAGAATCTGATTTCCTTCAATATTCCCACATACGCTCATCTTAGAAGTTTTATTATGAGCAGTGCGTAGTTTTCTAGACTAATTGTGCTCCATTGATGAGTTACGTCTCTCTCATAGAATGCGTCTGCTTTGCGTGAAGACGTTGCTGTGCCTTCTAGACTATTCTACATGCATTTGGATTTTCATCACTGAAAACTGAAGTAATATTTCCATTTCCATTGTTACCGTAATGATAGTCCTCCCTGTAGCGCTCTGGCCTGCTATAATGTGTGTACTGTGGTGGCAGCGGATAGCTCTCAGCCGGCCTGCTATAGTGCACACTGTACTGTGGTTGTTGATAGCTCTCTGGCCTTGTATAATGTGAATATTGTGGTGGAGGCCTTGTATACTCATATCCAGTGACGTAAGGTGATGCCCTGTGTGTGTTGTAGCTGTGAGTTACATAAGTGGGTGGGGGTGGGGGTGCAGGTACAGGTGCCAGTGGCTCGGGCCTAAATACTGGACCGGTGGGATAAGAATGCCAGTACCCACTAATGTATCCTTGCCCCATATTTGGACTACTCATGCTGGGATTGTACCCGTATCTATAGCCAAAGTCTGGTGGATGGTGGTAAATTACATGAACCTCTTCAACATCTTTTGGTCCTGAGGATTGAACTGGCTTGCTCGCTGGAGCCTCTGCAGCATCTGGTTTTGGACTTTCTGCTGGTGGCGGTGGATCTTTTGGTGCCTCTGCTGGTGGTGCCTCTGCTGGTGATGCCTCTTCAGTTGGTGGCCCTTCTGATGGAGGAGGGGTAGCAGACTCTTGTTGGGGAGGGTTGGCGGACTCCTGGGGTGCTGCCTCTCCTTGGTTGTCTGGGTCTGATGGCTGAGCTTGTGGTTCTGTGTGGGAACAAATGATGGCAGTCTTTCTTGTCTTTTTTATGGCTTTGACTATTTTCTCAGGATCAGCACACCCAATTATAGTTATCTTTTGCTGAGGGAAGTCAATGTAGAGCTCATATACACCTGCAAAAATGCAGTAAACCATTTTTAAAAATGATTGAAGAGACAAACGATAAAAGACTAATGCAGATCACTTACCACTGATACCAAGTAGAGCTTTCTTGATCTTCTGTACGCATCCATTGCAGTCCATCCGGACCTGTATCTCAGTGACTCGAGGTTTCTGCATTTCGCCAAAAACAAGAAGAGAGCTAGTAAGAAGAAAGTATTGAGATGCCTAGAATCTGTACCGCTGAACATTAAACCAGAATATAATTCGTATGTTTGCATGTGTGGCTTGGCGATTTTCTGGTATACCTCCAATTCTGGAACCATCACCGAAGAAGAAAGAAACGAAAAGCAGTGGGTTGTATGAGATGGACAGGGTGTAAGTGTTCCTATATGTGGAGAATCAATCCATGGCACGAAGAGGGAATATTTAAAAGTTAGAAATGTGGGGGACAATGCAAAGAATCTCTCTTTTAAGGGGGATGGAGATGGTTTTGCTGCTTGCTTGAACAGCTTTAACATGTCAATCTCATATTTCTAAAGAGGGGAGAAAGATAATAGGTAGGTGGGGCTGGGTCCTCAGGAATGGAGCGGGTGATTTGTTTGGACCCTTGAATGTTGAGCCAGAGGCCAAAGGGAATTTGCTTTTAGCGTAATGTGGATGGTCATTGCTAGGTGGTGTTGCGTCTGCAGCTAGCTTTGTATATCCAAAGCCGACCCTGGGAAAAAAGAAAAATAAAAAGTGAAGCGCAGTATAGAATATAGATCATTCATGCACGGCTAATGGGTCACTTCCTCTTACCTCAAAATGGTCAAACTGAGGAAAGTAGCTTTACGGGTGAAGAAGGATATCCACTCCCTGGGAATCCTTTTGTAACAAGCAAAGTTAATACATTGATTAAGTTGACAAAAACAAGTAATTTTTTTGTCTGTTCCATTTTCTCCATAAAAGATCGATGCCAGTACTCAGATTCCTTTTCAAGGGCTTTTCGTTAATTGAGAGTTCTGTTCCATGTTTAGGAGCTATGGTCAACTAAATTCGCGCTTCTGCTGATGAAAACAGGCTTGTCTAAGGCCATAATAATTTGGGTTAGAGGCGAATCAATCCCAGATATCCCCTAGCTGTGGTAGATGAACTGATGACATAATCATGTTAATTTCCCAGATGAATTTGAATAGCTTTCGGTTTATATATGCCTGGCAAAAACATCCTGGAAGACAGGAAAGGTAGCACGTATGCAATGCAAGCAATTTCACATTCATTATTTAATTGATTCGAGAGTCGACTAGGAAACCTGCATGCAACATCCGTCTTCCACTAATTAGTAATTACAACCAATTGAGGCCTCATCTGAGCTAAGCTGTAATCAACCAAGCAGTCACATCCTTTTTACCTGTAACGTAGAGGAGCATGATCAGAGCCGCAGCACCGCGGAACTCTGTTGTAAAAATAACCAAAGTGAGACGGAACGCCAAATTGAGAAATGAGCATCAATCCCTTGGAATTCTTGACACGTAATTAAATGAGTAATTGGAAAATCATTGGGAAATGGGAACTGCAACCTGCTAGTATTTTGGCGGAGTTGCTTTGTCAATTAACCAACTCTTTTATTTTTATTCTTTTTCTCAGATTTAATCGACAAGTTAGGGAGGGGAAATGATCAAAAGCCAGGAGAATACAAACACACTTGAACAAGCCAGCTACCCGTCCTAGCAAAGTCATATTTAGCAAGTAATTGTTTGGTCCCAAGTGGAGTTGGGCATATGCAAAAGGGAAGAATCTATTTGCCTTGTTGTCAAGGCTTTTCTCAAAAGTCCAAATTGTGTGCATGCTGCTGGCTAATAAAGCACACCAAGGAATAAGGATCGTATATCATCAACTGCCATGCTACAGACAGGAAAAGGGTAAAAGGGACCCTTGCTTTTATTGCACCCCGACACCATTGAGTGATGACCTTGAATTGAGATTAGAAGTTTTTTTTTCCCAATTATTTTCTTAACTTGGAGTGTGAGGGGTTCATAAGGAGGAATCGGAAGAAAGGAGCAGAAGTGGGGAGGGTCAAAATTAAATCACGTTTTAAGGACAAATATGGGCCAAGAATTGACCACTAATCAGTTTCAAATTTATGTGACAGCATTGTTAATGAAACTTGAATCGTTAATATTAATGGTGCTCCATCTCTTAAGTATTTTGAGCCAAAGCACATGAAAAAAAAATAGTGTGTCATTTCCTTATACTATATAAGAATGAGTTTAGGGCTTGAATTTCAACCGCAAGGGTGGGGCTTTTTTGAAAATTTGAGAGTGTTTGAAGTGCAATTAGAGTATTGAATATGAGTCATTATAACTAATTTAGTTTTGTTGTAATTACTTGGATACACTTTTAAACATTTAAAACTAGGGGTAAGTTTGATATGTGACATTGTTTGATATCCGATCAAACATTGGGTACAACTGAATTCAGCTTGTGTTTTAGTGAAATTACATTAAAACCCTTCTAATCATTTAATTTTATTAACATCTAAGTCTTTTAATTTCTTAAAGTCTTTCTCATCAGTTATTTTGCAAAATTATGATATATAGACGTTAAGACACAATTAATGTCAATTAGTAGAGAAGTTTGGTTTCTTGACTGTTATCATAGATGTTAATTCAGATGTTGTTACATTAGCTACTCTTCTTCCCTATTTTGCAACACCTTTTTCAATAGATATGTTTTCTTAATCAATTTACTTTTTAGTTGTAAAAAATCTATAATATTGCAAGTTGTATGTGCAATAATTTTTTAGTATTTTAATTCAATTGTCCATGTTAGACAAGTTTGATAAGGAAGAGACCACATTTGTTAATTGTTATTTATGGTTTAAAATAAGTTTATCATCATAAATTTTCCCATTTATAGATTACATCTACTTCTTTTGTTGTTTTAACTATTAGTTGGTATAATTTTTAAATCGTTTGCTACTTTATTAACTATGCCATTTAGACAATTTTTCACTTCATCTGATTTGTCAATATGTTTAACTATCTACTTAAAGTTATTTGGCTACAAATCTAAAGCATGTACCTTATTACTTTTAATTATTTTTCTTAAATTGAGTGGATTAAGATGCTTTAGTACTTTTTTGACGTAATTATTCCTTTAAATTAGCATGTTAGTTGTTGTATATCTTTATAACTAACACAAAACTGATATTTCGTGATTGTAACCCCTATCGAGAAGGAGATGCTTTGCTATATGTCCTAAATCATACAATAAATTATAATTAATTGCTTGCTCAATGTGAAGGCCTCGTGGTGATATGCGTCCTTAGAATCAATATAAATTCAAGAATTTGGCTTGCAAGAACCGAAATTCTACTAGCAATGATTTCTTCAAGTATGCTAATTGTTCAAATCTCGTTTATATGATAAGATAATGTGGTGGATTGCCCTCATAGCGAGATCAAATTCAAACTAAATAACAAATTTTAGTATTCCTAAAGTGCATGAGCAGATATAAATAGGTCTTTTACTATATTAGGTTAGATGCAAAGTAGTTGATCGTATCTTATAATTATGTTTTATTGCATATTATATTTTTTTAACTCAAAATGTAACATATGATTTTTTTTAATTTAATATCACATAATAAAATTATCATACTTCAATTCTTATACTAGAAAATGCCAAATAATAATTATTAACTATCTTTAATTATAGGCACTAAACTCCCACGCGTTGCGTGGGCTTTTCCCCCTAGTATTACTAACAAAAAAGAGATGCCAATAACATACATTTACCTTTGTATAATTATGACTGATTTTTTCGTATGTATCTTGCTCTTTAGCTTAGTCCGTACAAGCATTGATTTATTCTGCATGAAAGAATATTTATACAGTACTCTCTCTACCCCAAGGAAACAGAAGAATTATTGTGTTTTGGTACCAAAAAACCAATTCGAAATATAAGAGAATGAAATTCGACAGAAAATAAACGAAATTGACTAGAGTATGACTAGGAGGTCTTTTATTTTCAAAGTAGTGGGGATAAATGTCATCATACGTCGCCTGTCATGTGTGTTTTTCATAGATGGAACAACCAATAAATCTCATACTTGATTTATTTCATTCTTATAAAGCTCCACAATTTCACGCTAGTGGTCCTCAGCAAAAGCCTTTATGCCAATGCACAAAATTTGAGCAAGTCTAAGAGCAATTCAAGAATTGAATAATGGAAAGAAATTAATTGATAATATTAGTAATTGTTCTTGAAGACTACAAGTAATAAAAAGTCTTATGAGTAGGCTTTGTATCTTGTATTCTAGTTTCATGGCAGGTTATTTGCTATAAACCATAAAGTATTAGGATTAACTTTTATATAGCGATCATTTATAAAGGATTAATTTTTTAGGGTTAATACCACTTTGTCCCCCCAAACTTTGGATAATTACCCACTTCAGTCCCTAAACTTCAAAATGGGACACTTAAGTCTCTAAACTTATAAATATCTCACACTTAAGGAAAATTGTTAACAAATCCTAAATGCCATTGGTGGTCGAAGTGTCCCATTTTATAAGAATTTAAGAATTTAAGTGTCCCATTTTATAAGTTTAGAGACTTAAGTGAGAGGTATTTATAAGTTTAGGAACTTAAGTGTCCCATTTTAAAGAGTAGGGATTGAAGTGAGTAATCGTCCAAAGTTTGGGGGGACAAAGTGGAATTAATCCAATTTTTTATACAATAATTATTTTTAGTTGATGAACTTTTACCGGTTGAATAAAGACTCTAAATTCGAATATAGATTTTTGTACCTCTATAAAGAGACTCCATATTTGATAAATTCAAATTCTTAGACATGCTGAATTGGGCTTTGGTAAACCCAACTTGGCCCATTCAACATTTGTACTCCTAGGCCTAGTTTCACGATTCGCACCAAAAATATTATGGTCTAGACTCCGCCCATCTTGTACATGGGCTTTAGGCCAATTCAACATTAGCAAAGTGTGCCATTCTATGGCCGTGGCTGGAAGAAGAGTTAACAATTCTGCTTTAGTAGAAGGAGTTAATTTAATCTTTTTGTATCTGGACTTATCAGCTACATGGTTTAATAATACGAAAGGAATTGGTGATGAGGAATATTGCTACATAGTTTAATAACAAAGTCCAGTTGTTTCTTTCTTTTTTTTCGTTGTTATAAAGACGATGTGAAATAAAACAAGTGCTCCTTGAGATGCTAAGGAAAACATGTCGTGTTAGGCTTGAATCTAAATCACTCAAAAGCTAAGTAGGTATAAGATCCAAAAATCCAAAAACTCATTGACCCAACATTTTTTTTAGCTTAATGGCATCCAGGTTCATCTTCTCCTTCCTTTTTTTTTTTTTTTTTTTTTTCTGCAATGATAATATTCCTATAATTTAATCTATCTTATTCTACAAGGAGGGAAGCATAAAGAGGCTATATAAAGGACTATTAAGTATGCTAGACTAAAGAGGTGCTTTAGCACCTTTTTAAAAAATTTTTCACTGCAGGTGGGTTCTACAATCCAAAGAGGGAGTTAGTCCCTTTTTTATGGCCACTGAACTAAAATTTTCAAGTACATCTTCTCCTTCACATCAGCTTTCTTTTGAAAACTTTCTAGCTTGGATTTGAGACTCTTTTGTCA